CATCAAAAGTAAGTGTAACAATATAAGGTTTTACTGCCATTATCATTACTATTGTAATGATGATGGTGACGATAAAAATAATGGTGATGGTGGTGGTGAGGATGATGATGATTATGAATACAATAATAGTAATAATAATAATAATAATAACAATAATTATTATTATTACTATTATTATTATTACCATCATCATTATTATTCTTGGATTCGAGCTGACGTCACATGCTTTTTATTTGTGAATGCGCGCGCAGCTGCAGTGAAAACAGTTCGTCGCTTCTCATTAGAATCACTGCATTGAGCACTGTATCAGAGGAGGAAATCTTTTGAATTTTTCTCTTCCTTTGAGACACTGTTGCTACCTTTTCTCTTCTCTTCTTTGCTGATTCAAACCGCTTCATTTTCTCTTGCTCTCTTTTAGCAACTTTTTGCGTGTACACAAAAACAGAAGGGACATAGACTGGATGACTTCTTCATTGGCTTCCCTGAATAAAAATTACTCCTCTTTATTCCGTTCAGATGCCAAAAATAATGCCTCAGACGACAAAATAGGGGAGGGGGAGTTTGATAAGAATAATCGCATGGCATTAAGAATCCAGGGCCATGAAACCAATTTACCCTTGGCCTAAGGTAAGTTTTCATATGGTTATTGTTAGTTCTCCAAGGCTCAGAACCTTGGTAGTTGGAATACCTTTATAGGTAAATTGAATTTTAGCATCAAAAGCTCGATTCTTAGCTGTAATGAAGTGGTTTCCACAAAGTTCTTGGTTATTATTAGGAAAACGGAAGAATCCAGGCTTGTTTTCCATTTTATTATGGCTCGTGCAGCCATATGCAGCACAACTTAAAGGCATTTCGAAAAGCAAAACTTGCGGCTAATTCCAGACGAGGAAGAGTACAACAGCTTCTGTAAGGAATGTTTTCACTGCAGTTGTCGTTGCGTAGCAACTATGATCGCATGCGCCGCGCATCTCGAATCCGAGAATTATCATCACTGTTATTGTTATTGTTGTTATTACTGTCATTACCATCATTATCATAATGATAATGATGTCAATGATAATAACAACAATGCTAATAATTAGTATTTTGTTGTTGATATTGTCAGTTATAGTTATCATTACAATTTTCGTTGTTATATTGTTATAATTATTATTACTCTTTTTCTAAGTTGTAGTAGTAATTAATAGTGATAGTAGCAATCGTTGTTTTATTTGTTGTAGTAGTAATAACAGTACTACTAGCAATAATAGTTATTGCAATATTATAAATGATTTAGGTAGCAGTATTGCTATTGATCTTATGGTTATTTTTAATAATATCGTCATCTGACTTTTATTGTTATTATTGTTGGTGATCTTATTGTATTTTTATCATTATCATCATATAATCTTTATTATTATTGTCGTTATTATCATTTATCTTATTATTATCTTAATCATTAATGTCAAATTGCGTTTTTTTCACATACAAAATCAAATATGTACTACTAAATTTCTACTTCCAATTTGTCAAGGTCAATTCTAATACTAATGTCGAAGATGTTACTTTGGTATCAATGCCACTACCTGGGTTTTTGGTTTGAAGGAAACTCCGGTTTTGTCTTCCCTAATTTTAGCTTGAGAAGCATGACAATGTTCTTAAAAGGCTCCTGGGGTGGTCTGTTTTCATTCCTCTGCTACGTGTGCCGAAGCTACAACTGTCGTAAAAACAGTTGTAACCAATTTCTTTTA